TGCGAGAGGGAGAGACACAGGTACAGGTTTGTGAGAGGGAGCGACACAGGTACAGGTGTGTGAGAGGGAGCGACACAGGTACAGGTTTGTGAGTGAGGAGCAACACAGGTACAGGTTTGTGAGTGAGGAGCAACACAGGTACAGGTGTGCGAGAGGGAGCGACAGGTTTGCAATCACTTCTTCTTGCTGGACACAGTGAGTTCTGCGGCAGCAGCCTCCTGCTCCTGCCTCAGTCTCTCCTCCTTCTGCTGGAGAAAGGCGGCGTACTCCTCGGCGGACAGACTGCAGAGAGAGGACACAGACGCACGCTGACACAGACACAGCCCCTGGGGACAGAGCTCCCCGAGGGAGCCGAGGCAGTGAGAGCCAACAAGAAAATGTTCAGTAATGAGAGGAGGTCACTCAGTGAGGGCAGTGGACAGTGGGGGACCCAACAAGGGCAGTGGACAGTCGGGGGAGACAGTGAGGGCGGTGGGGGCAGTGGGAGACCCAGTGAGGGCAGTGGACAGTGAGGGACCCAATAAGGGCAGTGGACAGTGAGGGCGGTGGACAGTTATTGAGACACTGAGAATAAAGCAGAAAGAAAGCAGTGGAGGTTGTGAAGATGATAGTGGATTTCCTTACTTATTGACCACCTTGATCCCCAGGGACTGTGCGGTGCCGATGATGCTCTTGACAACCGTCGCCAGGGAGGCGTTCTGCAGTGCGAAGCTCTCGTCCTTCACCTTGACCTGTGCGATCTCATACACGTGCCTCACCGACACCATCCCTGCAACTTCATGACCTGTGTGTGCAGGAGAAACTGACCACTGACTCAAGGCAATAGGCAGTACTGTACACTATCACTGCACTGACCACTCGCACAGAGTGACCACTCACACAAAAGCCAGGGACAGTCAAGGCACTGTCCACCACTGTCTCTCCCTGCTGTGAGAGCAACGGACCTGAAGAAAGAGTTTGCAGAAATAAGTAATTTTTATTTAATTTAAAAACCTCTTACAGTTCCACTGTGCATGCAACTTTGCATTAAACACTCACAAAATATTTTGAAATGTGTTATTTTTCATGAATGATTGTGGAAAGTATTTTTCCAGGTTCCTAATTCCTGGCGGTCTGTGTAAATTTCCAACACATTCCACAAGAGGGCGCCAGAGGTTGTAATAGAGTCGTCTTAACTTCAGTGATACAGTTAAGTATCATTTGCCAAACTACTAACAAAGCCAATGAACACAGAAAATGTGAACAATGTGAGTTTTTGTATCGTACAATTTGTGTGAAGTACCTGGAGAAAGCTCCGTGCAATGTGAGAATAAAAGTGATTGACTGATCAACGGTGAAAGCAGTCAGCGTAAGGGTGGGATTCTTCACTCATGGGCGTGGAGGGAGACAGGGCTGCAGCCCGAGCTCGGCTTGTCAGAACTCAACAGGTCAGTGAACTGTCCTCAGAGCTGGAGCAGAGGGCAACCCGTCTGTCTGCACCCTACAGAGCCAGCTCTCGCACGATCTGGGTCTGGTTGAACCTTCCCTGCCCGTCGGATCCTTGCACAATGTTTAATAACTCAAGCCATTGCAGTGCTTCTCTCTGCAGTGCTCCTGGCCAGACACTCGGCGACAGACCGCTAGACCTTGTAAGGACACAACACTAAACTGATGGGCTTTTCATCGAAGAGCCACCCGACCACTGCTCAGCTCTCGGACTCTTCAACAGTGCAGGCGAAGTAGTGACTGACTACGACCCCCCTGACACAGCAGTGTCTCCGCTTGTCTGTCTGTCGGCAGGGGCCCCACCTGTCCTCCCCGCGCCCTTCTCCAAGCCCGCTGCGGCCTTCAGGAAGTAGGACACCGTGGGCTGGCTGATCTTCAGCTCGTACGTCCTGTCAGGCTGAGAGCAGATGGCTGTTAGTGACCCTTCAGCCAAGCCGAGCAGGAGAGGAAGAGGTGTAGGGAATGGAGGACTGACCTTAACGAAGATCTTAATTGGCAGTGGGATCCCTTCCTTGATGTCCTTGGTTTTCTCATTGAAGTCCTTGCAGAACTGACCAATGGGAATCCCCCTCTGAACAGACAGACAGACACAGACAACAGTGTTACGGACAGGCGGACAGGCGGACAGGGAGCCCTCAGGATCCAGACTCGCAGACCTGTGTTGCCACAGAGGGGCTGGGTGACAGTCCAGCCCATTAAAGCTGCAGGCTGATGCACTGTCTCGAGGTGACACTGGTCACACACTCCTCATTTCCCTTATTCAACGCTACTGGCCCTAACAAGCGCTGCTCGTCAATAAAGATGTAACTGCTGGGCGGATCAGACACCCTGCAGCAGGAACGGGATGGACGGGCCCCCCAGTCACCTCAGTACCTCCTACATTTCCCTCACTACTGCGCCACAAACCGAGACTTCTCTTCTTCCAAATACCTCTCTGAAAACGAGCACAACAGGGACAGACTCCCCAACTGATTACAGAGCCTGTCGCTGACACCCTGGCTGTGGGCAGAGCCCCTCACTGAAACGACAGAAACCGCGGTAGAGCTGAGAACGACACTGTAACATTTCTGTGGGAAATCGCCAGAGCTGGGCTGTGTTAATTCTGTACGACTCCTCGCTTGGTCTCCCTCTCTCTCTTTCTGCACCCTGCTCACGTCTGAACGTCACCCCTCAAGAGCGTCGCTCCATAACCAATCCACAAAGCCAGAGCCGAAATTAATCATTACAGTCCTAATGGAAAAACCCCTGGCTGGCCGAGTCGATCCCAGACGGTAATGAAGACCATCTTCTATCTCTTCTGAGAAATAAGAAAAAGAAATAAATAAAAATAATAGAAAAATATGACTGGGTGACAACTGCTTATGATTGTACTGCCACACTGCAGCTATAAACATCAATAATGCAAAAACACACAGAGACTCTGACCCTCCTGCAATCAAACACACTCCAACACACACTATGTACCACACAACTATCTACTACACCCCAGTAGACACAAACACACAGGGAAGCACAACCATTGCTGTGTACACACTTCAAAACACTGACACACCAGAGACACACTTAAAAACAGCGACACAACAGAGATACACTAGAGACACACTGAAACTTAGCAACACAATAGAGATACACTAGAGACACACTGAAACACAGCGACACAACAGAGATACACTAGAGACACACTGAAACTTAGCGACACAATAGAGATACACTAGAGACACACTGAAACACGGTGACACGCTTGGGGTACACTGCAACATGCTGACACACTCCTGAATACTGCAGTGCTCCGGCAGAGATGTCTGTGAGACAGTCCTTCTGAATACAAAGCAGCTCTGTAACAAGAAGAGAGGTGCTGTTCTTGCTGGTGTGGCTCAGAGAAGCTGTGCTTCATTCCCTAGAGCTGAACCTGTGCTGCTGAGACTTCCCAGTTCTGTCAGTTTCCAAAACGAGAGGAGTGAGTGAGGGGATGAAGGATGAATTCTGTGAAGGAGTAGCACACCTCACAAACGTCTCTCAGCTTACAGCCTGGAAGAGCAGTGCAATGGTTGCTGGGACTGTGCAGTAACTGGCTGGAGAACAATGGGTCTGTGCTGATCACAGTCAGAGGGCTGTGAAGATTAGAGACTGATGGAGCTGTGTTGATCGTACTCATGAATGATTCAGGAATGTATCACCAGTCTCCAGTGCTTCTGATGTGATTATCATTACAGTAGTATGAAATGGAGGAAGAAGTTAGTTCACACAGACGTCAGCGGGCTGGAAGGGAGTTAACCAGTAACTGAGCACAGCAAGAAGGAGCTCTCCTGCCTTGGCCCAGCCCAGCACTGTCACTCCCTGTGCCAGCGAGCAGGCAAGAGAGGGCATGGCGCTGAACTGGGCCAGCCCAGTCACAGGATCGGGAACCTGTCTGAGGCCGAGGCTGGGGTCAGCCACACACAGACACGCTGACGAGGGGCTCGACTTGTCGGCGATTACACACCTGTTTTGCTGCCTGGTGTTGACTGTGGGCTTTGTGTGGAGTGAGATTAGTGTCAGTACTCAGAAACAGAAACGCCTCTTTGACTGACAGACTACAAAGGACACTACTGCTAGAAACCCTCTGTGCTGTCGGGATGCAGCAGGGCAGAAAGGCGAGGTATCGTGTTTTAAATATCTCTACAGCAGAATTTGCAGGCAAGGCTGTGCTTTGTAATCTTCTTAAATGATTCCTCCCTCCCTTCCACTGGCCACAAATGCAGCCATGCCATCCAAAAATGTTCTTCCCTAAGTGCAAGGCCTGTTCCAGACACCCGGTCCCGAAAAAATCCCTTCTCAGTTTCCAAACGTGACCTTGTTCCACTCCGGGGTGTGAAATGTTCCCCAGCTGGCTCTATCCGTACTGCGGAACACCTCTTAGCTCCAAGGCTGTCTGCAGACCCATCCACCCGTCTCCTGCCCTGCGCGGCTGTGGCCTGAAACTGCCCTCACAGCCTGTTCCCCTGTCCCTGCGCTCGGCAGAGGAAGCAGCTCGCCCTGATTAATTCTGATTCTTCATCCCCTGGCTACCGGCGTTACTAAGATGAGAACACACTCAGTACAGAATTCAGGCCCATTCCTAATGTCTTCTGCTCCAGGGAATAACTGGCCTTTCCCTGCCTCTTCATCTTCACCTGCAGCTTTCACCAGGCTGTTATTTCCTGTGGGTGATGTATGAGCCTCTCCGCTGCTCAGGTGACAGCAGCCCCAGAGAGCTGATCTCAGCTGCCATTAATCACCGAGATGCAGATAATTATTCCAAGTAAAAAAAAAAAACTTCAGAAAAGTAATTAAATATTCATCGGCTCATTTTCAAAACTGCGGCCTTTTCTTTAATTCACCAGAACCTCCCTCTGAGGGGAATCTGAAGGGAAGCCGAGCGCCAAGGGCTCCTCTGCTGTCCACCAGCTTCCCAGACGATCAAGACAGGACGGGGACTGGGGTAGAGGGCAGGACAGGTGATGGGGGCACAGGGGTGCAGGGCAGGACAGGGATTGGGGTCTTGGACACAGAGTACACATGCCTGGGGTCTGCCTGGCCCTCAAGCCAGCGATCAGGATAAGATCCTGCAGGTACAATCCCTGCCCCCACCAGGAATGAGTCCTACTGTATTTCAGAGATCTGTGCGCAGAATATTAAAAACCTGTTGAAAGGTTGAGATGTGCCTCCTGTATGAGGCAGTTATGCACATTAACATCTTTTCAGACCAAAGACATTCTCCCTGTGTCACGGGCTGTCGTCTCCGGAGGACGCCGAGAGCGAGAGACACAGGCTGGGGGCGTGTCCACATCCAACAGCTCTTTTAACAGCCGGAGAATTACTTGTAAATCACCCACAGCAATGAGCTGCTCTTCTCACAGCTACAGAGCGATCCTGCTGGAAAGGCAGCCTGCTTTCTCTAGCCTTATGAATGCAGCGTGACACTGCCTGTGAGCACAGCAGGCTGAACGACTCCATCAGCAGCGTGTGATTAAGAATACGAGACCGTGAGACAGGTGGCAAGCGAGAGGAGCTGTGCTCTGGATCAGTGGGAAGGGGGGTGAGAGACCGCCACCAGTCTGCCCCTCTCGCGCCAGCGTGCTCCGGCCGGCGCAGGTGGAGAGACCCGGCTGTAAGGAGCCTGTATCTCACCGGCCAGACGAGCAGCGAGAACACAGCTCTGCCCTGTGCCCCTGCTGTGCTCCACTGCTCATTGACTGGAGCTTCTGCGCTGCAGTGACCCACTGTCTGCGATACTTCCAGGAGCACGCTGGCCAGTGCACAGAGACAGGGAGTGAGAGAGCGAGCTGTGGTTTGACACTCTGGAGTGCAAAAGTGAAAACGCTGGACTTTAGTTACTCCTGCTGTTCCTAAGTCCAATTGTAATTATTGTACAGTACAGTTGCATTACACTTCTTGTACACTGACACGCAGGAACACGCGTGACGGCAGAGAACCGGGTTACTGGACCAGCAGGCACATTTCCTGCCAGACACGCCCGGAGGGGCGCTCTCAGAGCGCCATCACAAACGGGAGCTCAACACTGCGCCCTCATTACCGGGACCGGAGACGGTCAGCACTCAGACCTGCCGGGACAGACCGGGAAACCGATCGCGGCTCCGGGACGTACTGGCGCACAACCCTCCCGTGAAACCTCTACTTTCTCACGTTTTTTTTTACGCTGTGCTGTGTAACCGATAGCGGCCGGAGACGAGAAACTTGACGCTACGGAACTGAAAACGGATTTCTGTAGCAGCACAGATGTCTTAAAGGACAAACGCTTCCAAAGTTAAAATATATCGTGACGCACTCAGCCCGTGGGGTGACTGCGAGGAAACAGATTTCTAGTGTACTCGGCAGGGCGCTGAAGACGAGCTCAATTAAAGATGATTAATTAAAGCTGTAACATCGGTCTGTGTGCGAGAGGATCAGACCTGCCTCGGGGACGGCACGGGACTCGTCTCCACTGAAGAAATACTCCTGCTGCTATTCCCACCGCTAGCCGGACAGACCTCCGGCGACCTACCTGTATAAGGCGGGGCGCCTCGGACCTCTCTGCCTTGTGGACGAGGATCACGGAGGAAAGACTGCAGTTCCGAGCCGTGTCCCGCCAGACCGGCGGACCGAACACAAGGTTCTGATCACAGCCCGAACCGCAGAGCACCCGGGTCCCCGGAGAAGCGCTCACGGACTTACCGGCGCATTAGCGTTGCTTAACCGGCTTCTAACAGACCGCGCTCGGCAGTCACATCGTACCCGCTGTGGTGGCGCGCAGCCCGGGCAAAGTCGCAGGAACGAAATTAATGAAATTAGTGTGAAAACGCACAGTCACGGCTCGCCGGGGCTGTAGGGCTGTCCTGCCGCGGGCGAAAAGCGAAGTTCAGCGGTTTTCAGGATTGACTGTAGAAGAGGCACCACAGAAATGACCCTGCCTGTGAGCGGCTCTCCCCAGACCGCTCCTGAACTCTCCCGAGAGGTTCAGAACCCGCCCTGCGAAGAACTGAACCGAAACAGCGCCTGCGATCTCAAGGGTCAGATTTGCACCGGAAACACCAGTTAGAACCGAAACGTGGCTGGAAAAGAACCGGGTTTGCAACTGCGTCGGATTGCTGAACCCGAAAAGGGTCTTTGCTTGGGTTCGGATGTTATTGAACTGACAATCGAAGTGTGTTCAATTCCTCGATCTGCGATCAATCGTCATTCAAGAACTGAGCGTCTTAAACCTGGTGAATATTTTCTTTTCATATCCGCTACCACTCATACATTTAGACAAAGCACACTCTCAACTGCTTATTTCAGAAATGCATTTAAATTACACGCAAACAGTAACAACACGCCGTGTTCAAACAGGGCCAGCTGCTACACAGTGCAAATGCAGTGCTTTACGAAACAATTTAAAAGTAGCTGATAACTTTATCTAAAAGAAAATCGGTATTCCTTCGGTTGAAGACGTTATTTTTTTCACGCGAATTTTAAGAAAAGTTTCAGATTTTTAACCCTGTCGGGCAGGAGCGAAACCAGTGAAGACCGAGCTCCTCTCTCGCGCCGCCTGCGGGTTGGGACTCCAGTCCAGTGTGTCTGTGTGTGGGGGTGCATGTCCACTGTCCATGCACAGCAGGTAGGGGTCAGGGTCCTGTCCTCTGTCCATGCACAGCGGGCAGGGGTCAGTGTCTTGTCCACTGTCAATGCACAGCAGACGGGGGTCAGTGTCCGGTCCACTGTCCATGCACAGCAGACAGGGGTCAGTGTCCTGTCCACTGTCCATGCACAATGGGCAGGGGTCACTGTCCTGTGTGAGGAGGAGATGGACACAGGGGACAGGCGTCAGTGTCCTGTGT